TCCCTTCGGGTAGGGCCAGACTTTCCTAATCTCTGAGTCCTGAGTGGGAGCTCCAACGTGAGTAGTTTGAGGGACGTGGGGCGCAGTCTCGACTGGAGACTCGCTCACTCCACGCATCCCTCGGCGGCTCCCAAGCTGTTTTTCCGCGCCTCGGCCGCCAGGCGGTGCTGCGGGGCTGGGAAGCGGCTCCGTCGCGGGCAGGTACTGCAGGAGGCGCGCGAGCGAGCCGGTATCTGGCCCGGTCTTGCGTTGTCGCCTCTGTCAAGGACCAGGGCGGGTCCCTAAAACCCCTTCCCACCGGGCCCGAGGTGGGCCTGTCCTGAGAGGACGTCTTTTCAAATGGTCCCCCGATTTGGCCCCAGAAAATCTGCTTTCTCCTCACTTCCTGGGATCTGAACAGAAACTACCGGGGCCACCCGGGCGTGAGACCCAGTGCCTCCGAGGTCCAGCATGACCCCGTGGTGGACGCAATCCATGGTGGCCCAACTGCCTCTGTCCACACCGGGAGCAGTAAAAGCACCCTTCCCCTCCCAGCGGGGGCTGTCGGCAGAGGCCTGGCCATACTAGGAACCCGGAGAGCCCAAACTTGGAAAAAGGCCACACACGCCGACACAGATGGTTTTTAATTACTAAACTAAGAAAATGACTCTAGACAGCTCCGAGGAAGCACATGTGACGTTTACATGCCAACAGGTGGAATCCGGCGGGTTTCTTAGATCATATATGGGGGGATAGTCCCTTGCGTTTAAGGCCGGGGTCAGCGCGTCGTGGGCTCAGCTCGCGCAGGTCCGCGCCGCGTCCTGTCCACGCCGCAGGACTGGGTCTTGTCGTCTGTCCCTAGGTCGGCGCGCCGCCCCACTCCCTTCCCTGCCCGGCAGTCCCTGACTGTTTCCACGGTCCGCACGCCCGCTCCTACCGAGCCGGCGTGGCCGGGTGTCAGAAATCCCCCGGGAGGTTGGCTCCTGGCAGTTCCTTGGCGCCCAGTGTGTCCCCGGGGGATACCAATAGTGACTACTACGCAGTCTCCTTTTTCGGGGTAGTGACCTGACTCTTTATTTTGAAGAGTTAGAGCAGCCAGGCTCGCTCCGTGGGTAGAGTAAGAGACTCCTAATCTCAGGTCGTGGGTTCCAGCCCCATGTTAGGTCCCCTTTGGCCAGCTCTCCACGCATCTCTTTCCTGTCTGAGCCGGGCCACTTGTTTTCAGTTACAGAGCAGCCCTCACCACAAAGCTCCCTCTGAAAGTGCCAGGCTTTGTCTTCTTGTCTTACAGGGACTACCACTACTGCACCTTAAAAATTGGGCTAGTGAATCAGAAAGGGGCCACCAGCACACACACACACACACACACACACACACACACACACACACACAACCCTGAGGTAAAGAAGGGACACTGGTGTGGGCAGTATATGTCCTGGACCTCTTGCCTGTATTCACTTCACCTGGCTAGGGCAGTAATCAATCCTCAGGTGTACAAGAGTACAAGAGGGTCACTCTTCCAGCTTAGGATACCCCAGTTTCCACAAAAACCCTTAGTCCCTGCCTGTATCAGCCATCTCCTATTTTCTGCATTCTGAAACTTGGACATCTGGGGCCTCACTCATCCTGGAGGGACTTCTCCTTCCAGGCTAGCAAATTCTTGGAGATAGCAAACAACTCCTTCCAGATTGTGCACTTCAAATCTGGGCCAGGACTCTCAGCCTGTGTCACCCAGAGTCGGGTATCAGACAACTAGGGACAGACTCCACACCCTGGAGCCCCCCGAAACTATTCAAGCTAGTCAATTGTAACCTGCTTATCTTTATAGTCCCATGAAATCCACAGTACGGGCTCTTGGGCTCTTGACTAGTTATCTCACCCCTTCTCCATTATGTTCTCAATGGCAGTTGTCTCCTCTGCCGGTTGCACTATTCCCGAATTACAGCAAAACCTATTCAACTGCTGCCGTTCTTCAGAGACCAAAGGCAGGAGCGCCCTGCACTTCCACGGTGACCCCTTCTTCTTGGCAGCCCCAACTCAGCGGCTCTAGGCCTCGGCGCGCTCWGACTCCGCCGCGGTTTCCTCCCCTTGGTTGTGCAAGGCAGCCTCTGAAGAGGAAAAGGACGTTCACATCCGTGGGCTCCGCCGGAACTTGACTTATGGTACCCAAAGGAAATTACCCGCCCAGAGTAAGTGCCATCCCTGGACCCCCGATGGTCTGGCACAGGACGGGGACCCGTCCAGGAGGCGGGGAGGTGGGTTTGCCCTCCGCTCGGTTGCCCCGGTTTGGGTTCCGTTTCCCCAGGGGCATCTAGAACTTCTAGGTCCAAGGATCAGACTGGGTGAGGCCCAGGCCACGCGAGGGACAGCTGGCAACRCCGAGAGGTCGCAGGCTTTCGGGAATGTGCTGTGCCTGAAAGAGTCAGCGTCCCCTGGGCACAGGATTTGTGGGTGGGAAAAAAAGCCGGGCTCGTCCGGGATTTGAACCCGGGACCTCTCGCACCCAAAGCGAGAATCATACCCCTAGACCAACGAGCCGCCGTGCCGGGACACTCTGACGCTGGTCCTTGGAGGCAGGATCCGGCGGCCCCGCCCCGTCCCGCTCCTGCGCCCTGCCACAGGCAGGGCTTCCGGGTCTCGGCCGCGAGCTAAAGACCAGGGCCGCCGCCTGCGGGGCAGAGGAGCCAGCGAGGCCCGCGTGAGCTCTGGGGTCTTTCCGGGTGCACCCCAACCCAGACACCTCACCCCACGGGGCACCTGAGTCGCAGATCCTGAGCAGGGGACAAGGGACTGCCACCTCCCGACCGGCCGGCATGGGCGAGCTTCGAGCAACGGAAGGAAGCGGAGGTCCCCCCGGACCCCACGACTGCGCCCCTCCCCTGGACCAAGACCCCTGCTGGCCTGGGCGTGGCCCCGAGACCCGACGCAGGGGTCAGAGCTGGGTCAGGGGCCGTTTCCTCCCGCGCGCGGCCGTGCGACCCTCCCAACGTGGCCTCCTCTCGCCCTGGAGTCAGCAGCTCAGCGCAGCCCAGAGGGGCGAGGCGTGCTCCCGCGGCGAGGTCCTGAGCCGCCCCAGGGAAGGTGGAAAGGGAGGCGTAGCGGGTGGGTTGACCCCGGTTTGGGTTCCTCTCACCGCGCTCCCTGCTGGATCGCCTGGCCCCCGACCTTCCAGCTGCCCGGAGCTGCAGCGGCCGCAGACACCGGATGCACAGCAGACAGGGGCCTCGTGGCACAGCCCAGGCCACACGAAGTGGACCCGCCAACTCAACGCTCTGGTTCTTGGGGTGCGGCCCGTCTATGACCTGGGCAGTCCTCCATAAGTTGATTTGGAAATCGTGTAGAACTCCAACTAGCGAGTACGGAGGGGACTGGAGAGACCGCCCGGCTAGCTCAGTCGGTAGAGCATGAGACTCTTAATCTCAGGGTCGTGGGTTCGAGCCCCACGTTGGGCGTAACTTTTCTTGGGAGAAGCTAACCACTGCACCTTAAATACTCCTTTCAGATGTCGGCTTGTTCACTGCATTTAATTCCCTTCCAGACACGAAATTAGTTGCCGCGTCAGGGAAGACAGACGTATACGTTACCGCAAGCCCCCAAATCTCTCTTGGGCCACGAAGCACATTTTTTTTTTAACCAAGGATTGAACTCAGGGGTGCTTAACTACTGAGCCACATCGCCAGACCCTTATTTTGTATTATTTTTAGAGACAGGGTCTCGATGAGTTTCTTACGTCCTCGCTAAATTGCTGAGGCTGGCTTTGAATTTGGGATCCTCCTGCCTCAGCCTCCCCAGCCAGGGGGGCATTGCAGGCCTGCGCCACTGCGCCCTGCTTGGGCCGCACATTCTTGTCCCATGATTTTTCAAATATTTAAAGCTGAAATTCACATAAATTTCTACATATACAACTACAATGCACCAATTAAAAAAAAAAAGTGTGGAAAGAGAAAAAAGAAAAAAATCTCCAGGTACACAGAGCTATCARGAGGACCCTGTCAGTGTTGTAGTACTTGTCCCGACAGGGACTCTGCTTTTAGGGACTTCCTTGAAAGTTCTATWATCCCAGCAGTGGTTAACAAGCCAAATCAAGAAGTAAAGCCAGTTGGGTGCCATCTAGAGTTCTGTTACTTACAAGGTTGAGCCTCAGCTGTAGAAAATCATGTTCAGAGATCCAGGGCCTTGTTACATATCTTGCAGCTACAGGGTTGATATTCTTTTTTTAAAAAAATCAAACACACATTTAAATTCTCATGTTGCAGAATGACAAAGAAATTTGAATTTGCAACTTCAGGAGCTGTTTTGTGTGAAAGGTATGGCATTAGTTACGAAGGTGCAGCGTCAAATGCTTGGGGATATCAGGGTGGAAAGTATTTAAAAAAAAAAAACAGAGAAAATACTATATAGTATTATGTGCCCTCCTGACCCTCAGGTTACACCATTATCAACTCACAGATAGACTTGTTGATCTGTTTCCATCCAGCCCATGATTTTTTGGGGGGGCAGGGGGGGTGGATACCAGATATTGAACCTGGAGGCATTTAACTCCTGAGTCACAACCCCAGCCCTTTCTTTGTATTTTTATTTAGAGACAGAGTCTCATTGAATTGCTTAGGGCCTCCCTAGTTTGCTAAGGCTGGGTTTGGAATTGTGATCCTCCTGCCTCAGGCTCAGCCCATGATTTTAAAGCAAACCAGTTGCCCTGCAATTTAATCACTAAAAAAATTATGCGTTTATAAAAGACAAGGAGTTTTTTAAATATATGTAACTATAATACAACAGTAGTACACGTTGGTACTGAACTTTTTTTTTTTTTTTTAATCAAGTAGAATGGATGGTTCTTGAAATAGTGTAAAGGACACAAGCACTCCTCTCTTAAAGCTGAAAACACACACTTCTATGAAAACATCCCTTGTGTCCGAAGGGTCCAAAACCCCCACTGGCTGTACACGCAGAAGCAATTATCTACACTTTCTTTGCTACTTGTCTTGGATAAAGGCCTAAAAACGCACCTTTTGTACCCCGGGTGGGACTCGAACCCACAATCCCTGGCTTAGGAGGCCAATGCCTTATCCATTAGGCCACCGGGGCTGACAAGTTAAACGGCTTTCTGTTCTCGAACCAGTCTTTTCCTCATTTTTGGTGGTTCCGGCAAAATTTTGCTAGGCTCTGTGACCTCATTCTGGCCTTTTCCTATCCCTCGACTTCGATTCTCGACCTGCGCTCCAGTTCATCATCTCGCCCACTCCCAGGCGTCCTTGGGACCCAGCTGTGCAGGAGCTCAAAGACGTGCGACACTGAGTTTTATTTAGGGTTATGCATCGGCCTAGGTGGTATGCAAGTCGCTGGGGGAGCCAGAGATCCCAGGTTCAAACCAGGATCAGCCCTTTAATCCAGGGGTACCCCTGCAACACGGGGACGGCTGGTACAGGAAACAAGGTGTCTGTGAGGCCCAACGCGGGAGGGAGGGCACCATGAATGTCCAGTGTCCCGCAACAGACCAGCACCTACCCRGAAAGGCAGAGCGTCCTGTGCGGGGGCCGCGGGGGTCTCCACCCCGGTGCTCCTCTCCCACTGTCCCTGGGGCCGCATGTTACCTGGTGGGGCCCCTTTGTTGTTAGTTGTTGCTTATTTTGTGGTTTTAGCAGATCGCCAGCCCCAAGCCTCTAGCTTCCCTCTGGCCCGGCCGGTGGAATCTGGGCGTCGCAGCCGAGGCGGGGGGCTCGAGCCCCACCCGCTGCCTTTGCGTAGCTCTTCTCTTCCCCTTTGGGTCTCTTAACCTCGGGAAGTTCCTCTCCCGGGAGTTCTTACTAAACCACTGCGACGTCACAGCCGCCCGCGGAGAAGGTGACTCCGCASGACCCCAGGTCGCCCGCGGGCGCCTCTGCACTCGGGCTGAAGCGKCCTTGTCGCCGGCGTTGCCCTCGCGGTGGGGCACCCGCCATTGGCCACGGAGGGTTCGTTAGCCAGAGTCCTTGGAGAGAACGCGGGCTCAGCAGGTAAATTCTCCAAGCGAAATGTCAGCTCAACCTCGGTGAGTATTTAAAATGTTGGGTGTGCATTTACACTAACCATAAGGTCCCCTCGTTGCCAGAAACCGAGATGATCTATCGGCTTTCGTCCCACATATTTTAGAACAGTGAGCGYACGTCAATAGAATTGTTATTTTCGTCATTTAGAAGTGTTCAATTCAGTGGCCTTAATTAGATTCAGATTATTGTGCAACCATGATCACATAATTTACTAGGTTTTCACATGCACATATCCTTTGATTCCCCAGGAGCAACTCCCCACCGCACCCGCAAGGAACCCGAACCCTCCCTCGCCTGTCAGTTTTCATCGCCTGAACTGTAAACCGCACAGCTCGCTGTTCACGGTTCTGCGCGGCTCTGCTCGGCAGTGCGCGGGGGTCAGGCAACCGCCTTTGGTCGCCCGTGCTGCAACCTTGACCCCGGTCCTCAACTGCAGATGCGGCAGACTAGGGGCGATTGGGGACAAAGCCTCTGACTGTAGAGAGTGTCCCGAGGGAAGGAAAACACTTCCGTGAAATTAGAAAAAATTTACCCGCAGCGACCACGAAGGGACTCGAACCCCCAATCTTCTGATCCGGAATCAGACGCCTTATCCATTAGGCCACGCGGCCCCACTATCTCAGAAGACTCAGTTTTTTCTATAAAGCRTATTGAAGCGCCTGCGCATTGTGCCCACGCGCATGCTCAGAGTAGAAAAAGACCCACCCTTCGTGGCAAATGCKGGCGGAGTTCTCAGTGGGGATGCTGCGCAGGTTTCGCCTCCCGCCGAGAGTTCGAATCAAGATGAACCTGCAGGTCCCCAACCTCTCCCAGGTATCTTCTCTGGCTCCTAGAGACCCTTCTGACTTCTTCCCGCACCTGCCCGCCTTCTGCTCTGCGCTCTCCTGCGCTCTCCCCGTCACTTCACTGGTGAATCTGCAATCGTCTCTTTCAAGAGTATCTGAGCCCGCCAGAAAGGCAGAGGCGGTTTCTCCTTCATTTCCATGGCCCTAGCGCCAGGAAGAGAGGAATGTACTCCCGGGCTGGTCCTACTTCCAGCCCAGCCCAGCCCACGTTGGTTCCTAATTCCGAGACACAGGGCACAGGTCCCAGTCCCGCCTCTGGTTCCGAGGGGCACAACTGCACCTTTACCAAGTGCCAGCACTTTACATCCATCATAACACTTATTTCACAGATCCCCGAGAGCAGGCACTGACCCACACAAAGCAATCATTAACAGGTATTTATTGAACGCCAATTAAACGCCCATGCCCAAGCTGCCCGCCCCTTTGTCCTGAAGAAGTCAAGTTGTGGATCGGGCGGCTGTAGCAGGGCCCTTAGGCCTGCAGGCAGAGCCTGCGCCGGAGGGAGCTGCGGATCTCYAGGCAGGCCTTGCGGAGCTCATTGCAGTCTGGCCCCAGCACGTCCAGCTCACACACCCGCCTGTTGACCTGAGGGGCCACACTGAGCCTGTGCCCAGGATTCTAGGCACTATGGRGATCAGCCTGGCTCCCGTTGCAGCCCTTGCCTGCTGTTTTGTAAGGCCTGAAATTTCAARTGCTCCTTGCTCACCCTCCAGTTCCCCTCTAAGCCAGACGAACTGAATCCCACTTAAACACATTAGGCTTCACTTCTCTGCCAGCCCACATAACTTTTTTTTTCTGMATAAATATTCAAATAAGCCAATTCCATGCTCCTGCTTAACCAGGAGCATCTCACCTCTTGTCTCTAGGAAGCCTGCTTCCCAYAGTCCCTGCTGGTTCGGTTTCCCAGTGCATCTCCTGTAGCCCTGCATGGCATTCAGTGACCTCTTCCCCGAGATTTTAGTATATGTGAGTACCAACTGCTGCTGCTCGCATCTGACCAGTGTCAGGGGTCCTGAGTTTCATTACCTAAGACTGTTGAGGGCAGGGAATCCCCCCTTCATCAATGGGGCTGATGGGAGGGGCTCAGGAGAAAAGTCAATCAGCCCCTATCTCCTGGTCACCCCMCACACACACCTCGGTCAGCAGCTCCAGGAGGTCTCCCCTGGGGTTGGCTCTGAGTACCTCCACCAGCGTCTGGACTAAGTCAGAGCCCTTCTCATCCCGATAGGCCACACAGCCTAGGTCAGGGAGTAAGGGTCAGAGTAAGGCTCAGGCCCCTACCTCTGCCTCTCAAACCCAGGGACCCACTGTGACCAGACATGGAGGACAGCAAGCACAGAGGATCCAGAGATCATGCCAGAGAACAAGGTGTGGGGCAGGAACTTCTTGCATTTGGACCAAGTTGTTTCTCAGTGTTTGCTGAGTGACTATATATACAGATTCAATACTGAACAAACATTTGCTGTGGATCTWCTAGGTGTCAGGCAGGGCCCTGAAACAAACAGATCTTCCCTGCCCTCACAGAAGTTCCTGCCTRGAGGAAATGGTGCACGTGCACAGATGGCATTTGACATATGCCCACCATCATTGCTCTTAATGAGCGAAAAACTGTAGAAAGGAAGCCGAGCATGATGGCACATGCCTGTAATCCCAGCAGCTCTGGCGGCTGAGGCAGGAGGATCAAGAGTTCAAAGACAGCCTTAACACTTAGTGAGGCCCTAAGCAACTCATGAGACCCTGTTTCTCAATAAAATATTAAAAAGGGGTGGGATGTGGCTCAGTGATCAAGTGTCCCTGGGTTCAAAATCCCTGGTACCAAAAAGRAAAAAGAAAGAAACTAGGGAAGGAGATGTCTTAACTGCAACTGGGCTGGTTACTCTAAATCCCAACCCTGGCCGCCACTAAGGCCAATCCAGCTCTCAGAGCAGGAAGCTGGGCCCAGTGTAACTACATACTTCTTACCCTCAGTGGCTGCATAAACTGTCAGGATGTCTGCTTGATCAGAGCTTCCTGGAATGGGGCCCCTGGAGGGGCTGCCTGGAAGAGAAGTCATCTCCAACCACCAGCATCCTAGGCTCCCGCAGGCCCAGGTTCACCCCATCTCCCCATCAAGGGCATCACAGGGCAGTGGAAAGACAGCTGGAAATCTAAATGTCAGCCCTTTGTTTATTAACTATAACCTCAGAGAAGCTAGYTCATCTTGCTCAAGATTGCTGCCAGGCTCAATTAAGGGGAGTAGCACTCACCTCCCAAAGACCTTTGYAATTTTTTTCCTCTCTTTCTCTTGGCAAAGAGTGGGCAGAGGTGAGAGCAGGACACCAGCTAAGATCCCYGGAAATGCTCTCTGAACAGTTCCCACCCTGGTACCAGACCTGTCAAACCCAAGCTATGGAGGGAAGGCAAGACCCACCTTGGGCATCAGTATGGATCTGGAGGACATCTGCCTGTGTAGGGATAGCTAGAGGTGTCCGAAGCCAGCGCCAATACCAGGGGAGAGCCACTGGCCCCACACCAGCGTCCCTGTTTCCTAGAGGGGTGGTCAAATATCTTCACTCAGTGGGTACCAAGCATCCAGACCTGATGTGAATAGTGGGGCCAAGCAAGAACCCAATGGCCAGAGCCCCGTTTCAGGCCTGCTAAGCTGGAAGTATTCAGAGTGATGAAAGACCAGGCTGAGGTCAAGGGCTCAAGTCTGTAGGCTGTCCTGTAGGACAGGAAAACAATGCTCAGGCTTCCTGGAGAAGGTRGACAGCAAGCATGGGAGGCTGAAGGCTGACAGAGGAAAGCCAGAGAAGAAGGCAACTTGGAGGCCGCTGCTCACCCCCGACAGGCTTACCCCCACGGCAGGCCTGTAGCAGGAAGATCTTGGGTCTGCCCCGTAGTGCTYGGCAGTGGCTCAGCTCCTGTACCAGTGCCTCTGGCTGCACCTCTTGCCCATCAGCCCCCAGCAGTTGCCCCTGTGGCCCCCCATGGGCCATCAGGGCCACAAGGGCACAGCTCACAGGGCTTCTACAGGTGTCCAGCTTCTCTCGGAACTGAGCCAACTCTGCCTGGAACCCCTGGAGTGGGGACAAGGTTGAGCCTTGGGCCACAGCCTCCCCAGGCCCTGGCTGTCCTTCAGGAGACTGAGATGTCTTCTCCAGTGTCTGCCCACCCAACTTCCATCTGCCTCCAACCTCAGGCCCAGGGAGGAAGCCATAACTCCCTGTTGCAAGTCCTGGCATGGGCTCACTAGAGGTGATGTGGAGGTCTAGCTTCCCAGAGCTGATTYTCCTCCTGTCCTAGTGAGGAAGAAGTACAAAGGCATGAGGAGAGGGTAGTAGGATGATAAATGTCCAGAAACAAAACCACAGAAGGCGGGAATACAGCTCAGTTGGWAGAATGTTTGCTTCACATGCACAAGGCCCTGGGTTCAATTCAGCACCACACACACACACAAAACAAAACAAAAAAAAAAACAGAGCTTTGAATTGGGGAGCAGAGACCCAGTCAGCAAGGGAGACCAGCYTCTCCAAGGCAGGAAAGTGACTGCCATTCATGCAGCAGGAAAGATAGAGGWTAAGCCTATGGGTGCACTTCCTGTGGGTGATGTGGAAGAGGCCCAGGAGGGGATCCCCAGAGTCCTAGGGGAGGGGTGTCCTTTCTTCAAAGGTACCACCAGAAGTTCTGGGCTTCCCCTCACCTGAGCTGTAGGGTCCATTCTCAAGGTGATCTTGAAACCCAGGGCCCGGCACAGGTCCCCCAGTGCCTTCACATCATGCTGTGCTCCGGGCCGGTCTTGGATCACAGCCAGGAGGAGGGCAGCCTTGACCCCCAACAGGTCATACTGAGYCCTGGGACTGGGTTCTGGCTATAAAGAGGGTTGAGGCACATTCAAAGTGGTCTAAGGGGGCTCCAAACTCCTAGCCTTCCCTACCTGGGCATGGTCTGGCTCCTCCCACCTGCAATGGCAGCTGTTTGAAGGAACCCTGCCTTACCTCAGGCATCCAGGGCTCCACACCTCCCAGGCATAGTGCTCCCCTCAAGGAGCTCTGAAAGAACRGGCAGTAGGTGTCCCCAGTAGACTCTTCAGCTACCCTGCAGAACAGCTGGGAGTGTGGGGCCCCAGGATACCTCAGAGGGGCTTCTCAGTGAGGRATCTCAGGGGAGGGGCACAATCCAAGCAGGTGACGGGACCCTGACTCCAGGGGAAGACTTGGCAGATTCCTAGCTACTACAGGCTCTTGGGGRTTAACTGCCAGAAGGGAGGGAGGAGGATGAGGAGGAAGGATAGTCCTAAGCAAGACCTCAGGTCTAGTTCAGGCTCCAGGTCATTGACTTCCCTGGCCTCAAGTGGACAGTAGCTATATCATTACCTCCTGCCCTGCTTCAGGGATTAGTGTGYGCAAAGGCAGGGACCTCACTAGAATGGAGCAGGCCTATGGAGGAGGGTTCTCCATAGGCATTTTCCTGTCAGAGCTATGGAGAAGAGCTGAGGCCTGAAGGATCACCTAGAGGATCACCCAGCCACCACCCAACTGTGCAGTGAGAACTTCAGACCCCAGGACCAGACCTGAATCAGTCCCAGTCCCTCAGTGACATTAATCACTGCCTGGATGAGTGTCAAAATGGACAGCTGGAAATACCAGTTTGGATGCCCAGACCACAAGGAAGGCCACTGCTGATAGCCTAGGAGGGACAGGGAGGCATGCCACACAGAGAGAGCTGCTTGGGCAAGGGCATGGAAYGGGAGGCAGCCTGGATGTCTGGGGGTCCCATGTGAGGCAGAGCTGTGCCCAAGGCCTATACAATAAAGGTTTGTAGAATAAATGGGGGCCAGGTATGTGAAAGAATTTAACCGGAACTAGCTCAGGACAGCCCAGTAGGGCCAGGGTGACCACAGGACCACCATCCCATCCCCTTCTAAGGCCTCCACCTCTGTCAGCAGTCGCAGCAGGGACCAGTGAGGAGAGCGGCCACAGAGCTCCCTCAGGCCAGTGAGGAAGACTCCGGGCTCCAGGGCAGCTGATGGAGAAACAGCACAGGGGCATCCTGTTGGCCAGAGTGGGGARCTCTCCTGCCCATCCTCTGCCCCAACTTGTCCACCCCCAACCAAGGTCCCTGCCCAGACACTTACCACCACAGCCACTTGAGAGCAGGAGGAAGACTTTGGGGCAGCCCCTCAGAGCCCCACAGTGACTCAGCTCCCGGACCAGCAGCTGTACGTGCCTCAGCTGCCCACTGGGGGCCACTAAGGCTACAAGGGCACAGCCCACAGGTCCCTTGTGGGCATCCAGCTGCTCCCGAAACCACACCAGCTCCTCAAGAAAGCACTAGGGCAAGAGCCATGGCCTGGCCTGAGTCCATGAAGGTCCCAAGTGAGATGGGTGCTGGGGGTGGGGATGAGGAATGAGGCTTACCTGAACAGAGGTCTTCCTCTTCTCACAGTTTTCAAAGCCCAGGGACCGGAACACACAGTCCAGGGCAGCAACAGTAGCAGTGGACACCCCATGGCTGCTGAGTGTCAGGGCCACTCTTGAACCCTGCAGGCTGTATTCCCCCTGAGGAGGTAAGGCCAAAGCTGGGCCCGGCTGGGGCTCTGCTGGGTGTCAGGAGCAGGCTGGGCCAGGTGCAGCCTCTCATTACCTTTCTCCCCAGGCTGTCTTGAGCATCAGCCAACTGTGAGGCCGCCTGCAGGGTCCCAGCCACCAGGAAGGCCATGGGGGTCAGGTGGAGCTTTGTCTAAGCACCAGCTCACCTCCTTGGTCCTGACTCACAGTATGCTGGGTCCCAACTCTTGCCCTTTCCACAGACTGTCTCCTATCAGCTCTGTTTATGACCTGAGTTGGACTCTGCCCCCAACCCCTGGAAACTTGGGCTCCACTCCCCCAGCCCACCTCTGTTCCCTTGCTCCAGCTGATGACTTCCTGGCTGACATTGATGAGCAACACATGAGCCAGGAACCTGTGCCCAGTTCTATTCTTAGCACTTGGCTCACATTCCTATCTGATCTTGTTACACCAGTGTCTCCTTTTGGAGACAGCCACCGCTCTAAAAATGTTCTCATACAGCCCCCACCACTCCTTACATCCCTAACACCCACATACACACACATACACATGCAGACAACAGCTCTGAGCCCCCAGAGGCCAATATCACTGACTGGAATCAGCCTTGTCTMCAGTTCCACCCTGGTTGCTTCATCTGGGAAATGGGGACAGTCATGACCACAGATGTGCTAAATTGGGGGCTGGCTGAGAAAGGGTCCCAGGGCAGAGGCTGGCACAGGCAAGCCAGCTAGTGAGGGACAGGAACATCTTATCCTACCTGCCCTCACCTCTCCTCAGATGGGCCTGAGACAGCACCAGGAAAACAGGAAGGGACCAGGGTAGAAGGAGGAGCTATACTCTGGTAACCACTGGCTCTGACAGCCACCAGCTCTGCACAGGCCACAGTGTGGGCCTGGGCAGTGGGGAGGTTGGCTTTCAAGGGCTGTCTGGGGAACAAGGGCAGGGCCCATTTTGCCCTGTCAACCTTTTCCCCTAAGACCCTTAAGCACAAGACAGCTTTAGCTTCTGGGACCTAATGAGCAGCAGGAGTATTTCAAGCAACCAAGACAGCCCCTTTCCAGCCCCTTGCCCATTTCATCAGTGGGGCAGAAGAGGGCCTGATAAACACCCCATGTCCTGCTTGGCCCCCCACTCTGCCAGGGCAGAGAGGTGGCCTAGACCAGGGCAGGCCCTGGCTGACACAGTGGAATGAGAAAACCAGGGTATATGACTGACCTTAGGGATCAAACCCACCTACAAGCCCAGGATGTGGCTCCACCTGCTGACCACACAACACAAGCCGGTAGTATGACCAGGCCAGGAGGCCAAGGGTAGAATTCCAGGTACCCCATCCCCACAGCAGACACCTAAAGAGAAGACAGGCTGGGCTCAAGAGTAAAGTGCTTGCCTAGCATGCATTGAGATTCTGGGTTCAATCCCAAGTACTTAAAAAAAAAAAAAAAAAAAAAAAGACACACAGACTAGAGAGAAGTTTCCACATTTATTCAAACCCTTCCGGAACCCTCAAAGTTGAGCTCTTTGGGAGCCCCTAGTCTGTATGTGTTGTGTTATTACACATACAGACCTGCACAGGATACAGACCACAGAATGGAATGCAGTGCTTGAGGAGTCAGCAACAAGGTGCTGAGTGCTGATGGAGCATTAGTGTTGAGTACCACAAAGAACATGCCTCTGGAAAAGTGGACAGTAGGGGACCTCTACCCACCCTGTTCTTGATTTCCTGGTTGGCCTCCAATTGCCAGAGCCACTGCCACCACCTCCAGAAAAGTAGATGGGTGGTTCTCAGGGGCCTGCCGCGGAAGGGTGAGTCTGCCAAGAGCAAAGGTAGGCAGCTTCTGTGGCCAGGCCAGGTCTGGAAGCAGGAGGTGATGAAAGCTGAAAAGCTCCTGTGGGCACACCCAAGACCCAGATTCTCCTAGGTGTGAGSTGACTGTCCCTCCCAAAGTCCAGCAGCCCCTGGTGCCAAGGCGGGTTCTCCATACCCACTGGAAGGCACAGGCTGGTAGGGCAGAGGAGCTGGCTTACAGACCCACGTGAGAAGGTAGGGAACAAAGAGACACTGGCCAGGCAAGGCTGAGGGGGTCCTGGGACACAGCCCTAGGCCCTGCCTGAGTCCTCAATTACTTTGTGCCCCAGCCAGGAAAGTTCCAGACTCCAGGAAACTAGAGGGGGCGGGGGACAGAGCAAGAAGAGGAAGACAAGGTAGCAGAATTTCCACTCAATGGGAGCAGGACCGGCTAGTTCTGAGGGATGCCCCTGCCCCTATGCAGGCCTGGCAGTGGTGGAAAACCAGTGGAGAATCCTCAGTGTGGACAAGGAGGGGTCACAGGGAGCACCTGCCTTGCTCATCCAGTTCCTACTGGCCACTCACCCYACGGGCTGGGCCATCTTGGCGTGCAGGCTCTGGTGGGCAATGAGGTGAGCACGCTGCTTGAAGCTCTTGTCACACTCGCCACAGCCGAAGGGCCGCTCGCCAGTGTGAACACGCCGGTGGTCCAACAGGTAGGAGCGCAGGGAGAAGCTCTTACCACAGTCACTGCAGCCAAAGGGCTTCTCGCCCGTGTGGATGCGTTGGTGGTCTGCCAGGTAGGCGCTGCGGCTGAAGCTCTTGCCACACTCAGAGCAGGAGAAGGGCTTCTCACCCGTGTGCACACCCTGGTGACGCACTAGATCAGAGGAGCTTCGGAAGCTCTTGTCGCACTCGTGGCACTTGTGTGGCTTTTCACCTGTGTGTGTGCGTTGGTGCCGTGCCAGGTCCGAGCCCCAGCGGAAGCGCTTACCGCACTGCCCGCAGCTGTGAGGCTTCTCCGCAGCTAGGTCCCGAAACTGACGCCTGCGAGTGGGTGGCCGACCCCGACGTACCCCTACCAGGGGGCCTACAGCTGCTCCTGGCCGGTTCTCACTCTCCCAGGCCTCAGCCTCTTCCGGGCTCCAGGATACAGACACCTCACTGCCTGTCTGGCGCGGAAGCACCAGCACTGCCTCCTCCAGCTGGGTCTTCGAGCTCTGGCTTTTGAGCCCCAAACCTGCAAAGGGGGAGGAAGCAGCCTCTTCAGTCCTACTTGGTTCTAGAGCTAGTGCTGAGTGCTGGGTCAGACATGCAAGCCCCAGTTCCCTCATCTACAAAACGAGATAGTGATGAAAAGCCAGTAGTAGAGTGGTTACCAGTGAGCCCCAGAGTGTGGACCCTCTGGGCAGATCCTATCTGCATGGATGCCTCCTAATCATGACCCTCCACTAGGTCCCTTACCCAACCAGGTCCTTAACCCATCCAAGTACCCTGCTTCTATACCTGGAACTAATGGTCCACTCTCAGAGCTCACTGAATGGATTCAGCTTGATTTCGTGAACCACCCATTCTTGAACTAGTAGAAATGGAGGTATTAAGCAATGTGGTCCCCTCACTTTACAGGTTCCAGTTCTCCAAATTAAAAAATACACAGTAGTGTCAGTCAGGGAAGGATCTCAGCCAGGTTCACAGGTTAGTATCTGGCTTGGAAAGGGACCCCAAGTGTGTGGCTTCAAATGGCAAGGTGTTTGGACTTGGAGTGCAGCCCAGCCCTGTCAACATTCTTGCAGCTGGTGAACCAAGGTGGCCTCACAACAAAGCCTCTTTTAACTCTGTCCTTTAGTGTGCAGTGATTTCTCTGAGTCTCAGGTCCCTCATCAATAAAATGGGAAGAATATTTCAATGCACCATGTTGTGTGAATCAAAGGAGAAAATGTCCTTATAAGCACTCAGCACAGGCTGGCACATCTCAAGCACTTGTCACATGATATACCTGTACAGGTACAGAGAACTGAACATCAGCACAAGAAAGGAATCAAACAGGGCTCTAGAAGAGACCCAGGAAAAGACCATTTTGGAACTGGCCAAGGGAAGAGTGGGAAGAAAGACTGGGAATGGCAGCAAGATGAGGTGCCCACCTAGACCCACTTACCCAGGGCAGCATTCCGGGAATTTTCCCGCTTTATGTCCCAGAAGAGATTCCTTTGGGCAGGGTCCAGAGAACCCCATTCTTCCCGTGAGAAATAGAAGGGAATGTCTCCCAATGCCACAGGTCCCTGGAATGAGGAAGGAAGATTGGGCTCAGGCTGCCTTGCTCAAGTCTCCCAAGCAGCTGTGGGTGGGGACAGGGTGAATCAGATGAAAAAGGGCTACAGGAGAAAGCAAGGAACATTTTATAAACTCAGCAGTGCTAAGGGTCTCAGAGAGGACAAAGGGACTGGTAACTCACATGGACCCCAGAGGCAAAGCAGGCATCTGTGGTCTCTCTGGTATTATCCTCTTTAAGAAGAGCAGGAAGCTGGGCTGAAAGAAAAGAATGGCGCCTCAGGGAGGCCACCTCAGACCTGAGACTGAGATCTTAGTCTCCCCTGCACAAGTGCACATGCACAGACACACATGCATGCACAGACACACATGCACGCACATACAGATATACATGTGTACATATGACTGGGCTTCAGAAAACAGAAACCCCTGGCTGCTACCTTCAGGGCAATGCTTGAGAAGGAACAAGGCCCCTGGCCAGCCATTCTGCTGGCGCCTATTTTTCTTTTTTAAATACTTTATTTCATTTTTTTTAGTTGTAATTGGACACAATACCTTTATTTTATTTTTATGTGGTGCTGAGGATCGAACCCAGGGCCTCACACATGCCAGGCAAGCACTCTACCGCTGAGCCACAACCCCAGCCCTGCCACCTACTCTTGTAGAGGGTTACTTACCATTGTGGTGGCTATGCTGCTCCTGGGGTACAGGCGGCTGGCTCCATGCCCCCACCATCAGCAGAGGCCCCCTGGCCTGGGATCTCTGGACTGCAGACTCAGGTTCCACCTCCTCTGAGGGCACATCCTGTGCAGGAACCACAACATGCTCATCAGCACCGAGATCAGACGGGGGAGACAGAGTTTAATCCCTGGGAAGGAGACACAGGACATGTCCCTCAGGAGGCTGGGGTGTTGAAAAGGAGAGCAATATGGAGCCCCATGAAAACCCCAGAGGAGAATGTAAYGCAAGGCAGTGCTGTGTGCCCAAAGATACTCCCCATCAAACATGATGCAAGAACCAGCCCTACTGCCAGGTCAGAGCCTCACTCCCAACAGATCATCAACACCTCCCAGATGCTTCCAGTCTCAAGGACCCAACACACCACATGACAGCAGGGTGTTCACAGACAGCTCTACCTTCTCATACCCTTCTGGAGCTCTCATGCATATTACTGTATCCCCAGGGCCTGGCCAAGAGCAGAACATGAATATACATTTGCAGATCCTAATGAAGTTGAAACTTTTTTTCTGGAACAAGCCCACTTTGC